TTGGAAACTAACTTCACAGAACTAGATGAAGATTTGGAACAGCCGAAAAATCTTGACCCTCAACAAGAGTATGCGGAGAATATGGAATCTTTCCAAGAGTCTAAGAAAAATTCAGCTGACATAGTAGAAGAATATCGAAAAATGTTCGCCGACATACAAAAGACTCCAACATCAGATGAAAATATCCAGCATAGAATGGAAGTACTGAAAGATAATGTACACAAATACAACAATCCTTTTTACTTACGAGCATATAACGTTCAATCTTTGGATGAACTCGGTGAAAATAAAAGGTTAAATTTCAACAAAACATATAGAAATGAAACATTGTTTAAAGTTCATTCAGAACCTAGCCAATATGGAAACAAACCTACTTTTGTTTCTGCAGACGATGGAACTACAATGAGATGGGTCATAAAGCTAATCCGGATAGGTGGTTCATAAACTTACAACCACAATTCCAAGAAGTTGTAGACGCAATGGAAGTGAATGGTGAACCAGATGTAGCTGGTATTTTCAGCGGCTTTAATGCCATTGAAAGATATGAAAGATGCAGATATTTTGAACCAGTATGAAATGAACATGGCTGATGGAAATATAACACCTGACGTTCTAGAACATTTATCTCAAAGAACTACACAGAACCATAGAGATGGTATATTTGGTGAAGAGTTTAGAAAGAAAGTTAGGGAGAGAGAAGGAAGAGAACCTATTGTACATGACCTTGCAAACGAAAGTTTACAAAATGTCATAAAAACTTACTTTGCAGACAATGAACCGAGAAGGGATGAATATTTAAGAAAACTCAAATGGACAGTACCAAATGAAATGTTAGTATTGAAAAACATGTTCCTTGACAAAATAAAACCAACTACAGAAATAAATGACGCAAGACTGAAACATTGGGTAAAAGCTTTCCCATTCACAAAAGATATTGTTGGTAACATGGAAAGAAAACCAGAATGGCTACAAAAACATATATTTGGAAACGAGCTTATTCCATATGGACAAGCTCTGTTTGAAGAGCTTGAACCGGAAACTCAGGAAAGAGTCATGCAAACAATACGCGAAGACTCAAATACAAACTATGACAAAAGCTTTCTAGGATATAGGTTACCTGAGATGGGCGACCAGAGCCCAAAGGCAAAAAGGACACGTGAAATTTACAACATACTAGGTGAACATGAGGCAAAGATGCAACAACTTGAAGCAGAGGGCAAGTTACCAAAAGCGACACCAAAGAAGAAGAGTAGAACAAAGTGAAAGTAGTGAAGAAGTAACTTCATCTAGTGAAAGTAGTGGCAATGAAGGAAAAAGAAGAGTTAAAAACTCAGTCAGGAAGAAAGTAAAGCTTGGTACGAGTGGGTTCTATTATGACAAATAAATCCAACTATTCTATATTTTTACCCATATGAAATGTACGCCGCTCAGAATATAACGCCAACAGTTTTGGATGCCATGAACGGAAATGTTTCCGAATGGTATAACGAATGCGACAATGCCATTAGAAGGTCAGAAATAGTTCCGGAACTTACGAATATACAACTGCTGTTTCTTATGGAAACGTAGGTGAGTTTGGAGAAGGTTCTTCAACAACAGTAGATATTGCTTGCGACAGGTTTCATATTATTTCTATTGACAACTCATTCTTATACGTGGAACAAGACATTGAAATAAAACCTTCTGCCAAGTTGTCTGACAAGAAAGGTTGCAATGGAATTTTCTATGTCGGATACCAATATGCTCCAGAAGTTTTCATGGGATATAAGATATATTCTAACTCTGACTTAGTTCAAACAGTAACATGGGCAAACTATGAATGGTTCGCTTTGAGAAACTCAGTACAACCACAAGCTAGAGAACAAACAGACCAGTATGCAAATATTGAGAAAATAAGAAGACTTGACCCTAACGTTCCAGGAGTTTATGTTAACCTTTCTGGTTCAGATGGAACTGCTGCCACTAAAGTAAAACTGAAACTTAGAGTTCCTTTGTCATCTTTCCTCATCTTCAGGTTTTTAAGATACTTGCCAAACTGGCAGGAAAAATTTCTATCGAACTTACTCCAAGCAAAAATAACTTAGTCATTGCACCAACACAAGACCCATTCACTCTTACAGACGTAATGGGAACAAATAAAACGTCATTCGCCGACTTTTGCAAAGACAAGGTTGACTTAGACTTTGGTTTCTCAAACTTCAACAATGAAGTAAACTATTATTTCAATGCTGCTGGAACTGCTTGGGACCCAGTTAAGTTTACATGCGAAAAGTTTGAATGCAAGAGAATAGAAAGCAGACTTGCAGTCTATATGTTGGACCCAGATATTTCAAATGCTTTAGCTGCCAAATATATTGCAGTTCCACTTATGTTCCCTATACACCAAATATCTGTCAAAGACTTTGCAGGTGAAGTTGGAAACCAAAGTGCTGACCCAGGTGCAAGAACAGATATTGCTTTAACAACTGCAATGAAAACATGCAGATACTATGTTTGTACTGTTCAGACGAACTATAAATGACTATTCTTGTTTCTACAACCCCGGTATTAAATATCATATAAACATAGATGGCAAATATTATCCAGAGAAGAATATTCTACAGTTGAGGATATGAGGTCATACAACTTGACATTAGATGCTATGAACTTTAACAACAACTTCACAACAACCATTAACCTGAAATGCAAAGTTCTATTATGCCATATGTGAAAGTATGGACTCATACAGGAGGTCAAAAAAACTCAATATACAAATGGAGACCGTTCAAACTTTTGGCTTGGCATTCCATTTGCTGACTCAGAAGACTTTATGGGTGGTATTTCAACTGTTGGTACAGTTCAAATACAATATACTGGTGACAGAGACGGTCCAAGATGAACTGAGAGCAAAGAAGTTTACAAAACCAATAGCACTTTTCACGGAAGATGCTCTTTTGAAGATTCGTTCGATGAAACCTGCTGGGGCTCCTCAGATTGGCATAACGACAGCTTCCATCGAGCAGATTTTGGCAGCAGGTCAGTAAGTTGTTCTTGAACTGACTTCTCTCCGTCAAATATTGACAGTACGCCAGTTTTGACATAATATTGTAAGATAAACTTACCTTTAGAAATATCTGTAAGTTTTGTGTTATATTTTTGTCAACGTCAAGAACTTTCACCATTTCAGTTATACCAACTTTCTTTGCTTTATGAAAATATTTTGTTCAGCAAAGACTGCTATTCTATAACATTTACCATTGTTTGTATAAAGAACTATTCTGTCAATGTATTTGTATTGTTTGTGTGCTGTAAACTTTGTTCTGCTTCAATTCAATAAGATATCCGAATACGTCCATCTTTTTATTCTAAGTAAAATGTCATTTCCGAAAAATAGAAGCGTGAGTGTTTCAAAGTTTAATGGCGGTGGCAGATGTGAAGTTAAATTCACCAACTCAAACAAACAGTCAAAGTGTTGTTGTCAATGTCAAAGACAGAGATGTTGAAGTGGGGAAACCATACGAAGACGAAGATGGTATAACAATTGTTCCTGTAAAAGAACCAACATATCCTGAAGTTAGCAGAGACTTAAGTTCTGTTGCAGATATTCGAAACGACTACCAACAACTTAAAGACAAACTTCAAACTCAGGAGAAGATTTGTCAAGCTTTAAGTATAATGTTAAAACTTGGTCGAACACAACCCTGTAAAAGTGAACTCATATGTCATTGCACCTCATGAAGTTTTGAAAGAACTATTGAAACTTTTGACAGAGGCAGACGATATAAACATCAAAGAAATAGAACCCGACATTAGTTGCTGTGGTGTTTTCATATAATGTCATTGACAAGATATACGTTATGAAAGGAGGTGAAACGTTGACTTAAAGTATAGTTTCCCAGACGTCATAAAAATATTTGACGACCACAACATTTCATTAAAATTTATTTGCTAAGTAAATGGCAGAAGATATAATGGTTTATACTATTACGACTAAAAACCCTGAGTCATATAATTCTATAACAACAAACTTACAAAGTCCTCAAGGACGATATTGTAAACTAACCTTAAACACAATGACGACTAAAGCCTGTTTTGCTCTTTTGACACCAGAAGACTTTATTGTTGTGAATGGTAAAAAATACTCCTTTGAAGATACTTACTCAGATATACCACCAACAGGTTTTGTTGACTTATTTAATACTTTAAGTACGGGTGTAACATGTGCTGCAACTAGAGCAGGTTTCATTATGTTTGGATGTCCGACTGAGTTTACTATAAACGATATGAGCTATAATACAAAACTTATTTCTGGTTTTTACTACCAACAGTTTCCTATAACAGGAAAAGGTGTCATACAAGGAATGTCTATTCCATTGACATTAAGCACACCAATCTTATATATTGTTTCAAACTTAGGTTCAAAGTGTTATTCGAATGTCGACAGAAACTATTATGACCAAAAGATACTTATGCGTATAAACAATACTTTCTCTGCTGGTTTGCCTATTGTTCATTCGAATGCAGAATTTTCAACCTTAGTGAACTCAAACACTTTGGCAAGTATAACGTTGACATTAGTTGACGCAAACTTTGTTCCTGTAAAACTTTTATGTCCTATGTATTTGTCAATGACGGCAGAAAGTTTCGAATTGGAAGATGCAACTGGTGAAAGTATTGTATTACAAGAACAACTTCAACAACAAATAGCTCAAGAACAACAAATGCAACAAATGGAACAACAAAGTCAAGAATAAAAAAAATATTTTTTTTATTTTTATAAAAATGTACAGAATAGATGTTTCAGATTTTTATGACTTCCAAGCATTCAGAAATATGTGTCCATTTCGAGACTATAACAAAGCAGTCGAGAATTTGAAACGTTTAGTCATTTATGTCGACTCTGCCCAGAATGTTATGTTATGAAAGAATGGGATGTAGTCTTTAACAAACCTAAAGCAACAATAGTTTCAGAACAAGAATGTAGACAGAAACTTAAGAAAATAAAAGTCGTACAAGTTGGCATGAAGATGTTAGATGCTTGGGATATCTTATTGTCAAAGTTAGAAGATTTTTCAGTTCGTGGTATAAAGTTTTATACACCTTCTCCAAACTTCTATTCTATCTTCACTGGATATAAATATGAACAAGTAGAATGGAAAGAAAATATTATAGAAGCTTGGTTAGACCATGTCAAAGAAATTATATGCAATGGAAACGAAAAGGTTTATGAGTATATCTTATGTTGGTTTGCAAACATCTTACAACATCCAAGTGCTAAAAATGAAACTGCTCTCATTATAATTGGAAAACAAGGAACAGGTAAGAACACATTCTTTACAGATATCTTATGCAAACTATTAGAGGGCTATTCGAACCCGAATATGACAAACTTAGAAAACATCTGTGGCAAGTTTAACTCCTCAATAGAGAATATGAAACTTATAGTTTGCAATGAACTTCAAAGTATAGATACAACAAAAGTTTTGAACTCAGATGCTTTGAAGAGTCTTATAACAGACAAAGTTGGAGTTGTTGAAAGAAAGTATAAAGACCAAAGAGTTTGTGAAAATGTTGCAAACTTCATTATGGTTTCAAACAATGTTGTTCCGATGAAGTTAGAAAGTTCTGACAGAAGATATGTAGTTGTCAGAACGTCAGATTCTCATATGCAAGATACAGAATATTTTGACGACTTAGCAGAAACTTTGACATCTGACTTTTACAACCACTTGTTCTCATATTTTATGACATTAGATATTTCAAAGTTCAATCCAAGACAAATTCCACATACCGAAGAGAGACAAACATTGTTAGAAGCAAACAAGAGTGTATATGAACTGTTCATAGATGAAACTGACTTTGAGTGTTTAGATGAAAGGTCATTGTACGATTCGTATAAACAATATTGTCAAGAATATGGTTATATGGCAGCTTCTAAACGAACATTCTTGGCAAATGTCAAAAGTCTTTTAGATGTTCAGAATGGTGTATATACAAAGAAAAATTTTTCTGAGTAAATTTAAAAAAAATCTTTTTTTATCCGATAGAAAAGATGGCAAAATTCATCTCAGTAAATAAGTACATGACAGAAGTCAAAGATAAGTTAGCTCCATTCGCATATTTGAATGTTTACTTCTACAATTTTGAAAAGTCTACATTTGACAAAATTTGGAACATTGCACCAGTTAAGTTTGCTGTTGTTAGAAAAAGTGGTGCAACTTTTGAAGACTTATACATTGACGGTATGTTGACAGTCAAAGAAAATTTTGACAGAAAGTTCTCAAAACTCGAAGAAGGTAAAGCATACAAACTTGTTATACCTTATGAACCAAAGAAAGCAGACGACTATGAATATTATGAGTCTAAGATAGTTGAAGTTCAAGGTAAATTGGGTAAAAAGATTTTAGAGTCTAAGCCAGTGTTTGCCCCTAAAGAGGAAGAGAACATTGACATTGACCCAGAAATGTTCTAAAAATAAAATTTTATTTTTACATGTCAAATTTCTTTTTCTCTGGAACTGGTTCAGGTTCTTTCTTCTCTTCTTCTACTTTCTTTTCTTTCTTTTCTCTCTTCTTCTTTCTGGTGGAGTTATGTCAAATTTGGCGCAACCATATTTATGTAAAAGTTCTTTGTCCTTTAATAGCTCTTCTATTCTGTTTTCTATTTCATCTTCAAGAACAGCGCATGTGTCTTCTTTGCATTCTAAGAAGTTTTGTTGGACTTCATCTCTCCAAGAGGCGTCATCTCTGTCAACAAGTCTGTCATTGACAAACTTAAAGACTTCTCTGCCTAATGTTTTATGGTTCTTGTCATATTCCCAGAAACAGAACTTTAGAACAAATTCACCTTTCTTGTTTACACTATGTAAGATTTTATGGTCGACAGATGTTTTGCTGTCGAAAAGCTTGTCTCGAATATAGATAGCGAAATCGCTAGACATTTTCTAAAAGATAAAAATTTTAATTTTTCTAAAAATATGTTAGAAAAAAAGTTTGCTGACATTGACAAGAAATTTGAGAATGTTTTAAACAAGAACAAGAGGAAGTTAGAAAATGCTCAGATAAAGCCTATACATGACAAGTTCTTATTTTGCTCAGAATGGTATAACAGGTCTAATTGCACCACCTGGGTCGGGTAAGACTTTCACTTATCTTAAAATGGCTGCACAACAACAAGAACTAGATGAGAAGAACCCATTCTATGAGTTAGTTGTTATTTGTAGTACTTCTGGTCAATTTGACCAAACCGTCAATTCGTTCAAAGATATTATAAAGAAGTCTAAGTTAGTATGTATAAAGGATACTGAGTTGTTAGATTGGATAAAGAAGTACCAAAGAAGAGTTTTGAAGTATAATGCTATAAATGAGTATATAAATTCTAAGTTTAAAGACCCAAATGAGGAAATGCAGAGAATATTAGAGAAGAAACACTTCAGAAACAAACAGAAAGAGATAGAATACATTTCGAAGAAATTGCAATCTTACGATTGGAAGACATACCCTCATAGATGTCTTCTTATCTTAGATGATTTCGCCTCTCATCCTTTGTTAAAGAACAGAGAACAAGATATGTGTCGAATTCTTAAGAAGCTCAGACACTTTAACATCTCAGTTGTCATTTGTGTACAGACAGCAAAGAGTTTAAGTAAGGATGTAAAGAGAATACTTACTGACATTATACTTTTCCCCGGATTGTCCGAAGACGATTTCATGGAACTTATGAAAGAGTCCATGGCAGGTAAGTTTGACAGACATGAACTATGGGAGAAGTACAAAGTCATACAAGACCCTCATACTTCTTTCAGAATTCATATCTACGCAAACAAAGTTCAAATTGTAAAAAGTCAAGCTTGAAAAATCTAAGTGTTTAGTCTTAGTAAGTCTGTTGTGGTGCTGGGGCTGTCGGTTCTTCTGGCTTTGGAAGGCATTCAGGAAGAGGAACGTCAGTCATCCGTTTGTGTCCTGTCGGAAGGAAGAGTTCTTCCTGTTGGAAGGAAGAACTTTTTCTGTCGGAAGGAAAAACTTTTTCCTGTCGGATGGAAAAATTTTTCCTGTCGGATGGAAAATTTTTTTCTGAAGTTCGACCAAAAAGTTCTCAATTTTCGAAAATTTGAATGGTTTACGGACGGACAACTGGAAAATTTTTTCTTGTCGGATGGAAAATTTTTTCTTGTCGGATGGAAAATTTTTTCTGTCGGAAGGAAAAACTTTTTCTTGTCGTCGGGAAAATATTTTTCTGTCGGATGGAAGGACTCGGAATGCCAGAAGGATTTGACAAGCCAATTTACCATCTAGAGCTACCTGAGCCATCTGAAGTCAAGCGTAAAAATAAATGGTTCATCTACCCTACTTGTTTGAAGTTGTCAAAATACTCTGTTATTTTTTCCTTTAACAATGGCAAATCTTCTTTGAAGGTAAGTATTGTACAACCTTTAATATCATAGTGTGTTTGAGGTAACGTATCTTGAACTATTTGTTTCACATCTTCATTCGGTGTCATTGAAATCGGTAAGTTTTCGCGATAGAACCAATTTCTGTCAGATTTGTAAATCTTAGCAAGGTCGTAAAAGCTTTTGTTGTTTCTTCTGACTAAATGCAACATAACCATATCTCTGTCTTCTTCATTTTCCATCTCTTCAGTATAAATCATATACTTATAGTTCTTTTCCTTTCCTTTTGGTACCGAACGTGGTATTCTTTTCTGAATGCTTTTGTCTTTTGCTTCAAGCTTGTTCTCTAGCTCTTCACGTTCTTGTCTATGAATTTCATCTAACATCATGAAAATATAACAAGCGTAACGAGGTGAAGCCCACATTGCAACAGCATTTACAAGAAGTCTATGTACATAATATCCTCTCAAACCGTTTGGCAATTTTTCACGATTTTCATAGAGTTTTGGCGACTGGGGTTTTTTACCTACTCGCTGTTCTTCACTGTTTTCAGAAAAAAGTATGTCTCGCTGTGCTTCGCTCAAAAGTTCTTGTGTGCTTTGGTTCCTAAACCAGTCTTTAGGAAGCTTAGTATCTGGAGCAAAACATGCTGTCAAAATACTTTGCATTTGGTACATATCGTCTTTGACCGAACGAATGAGACGGAGTTGTTTGTTAAACTGAACCCACTCATATTCTTCATTTATAGCTTCATGGACTATAACGGTTGTTGTGTTCTCTGTTGTTGACATATCTGTCTTTACATACAAAATAAAAAAATAAATAAAAATAAAACTAACTTTATTTTTTCTATCTTAAGGAAATTCATGATTTTCATAGAGTTTTGGCGAGTAGGGAAAAAAACGGTCTAGAGAATTTTCATGATTTTCATAGAGTTTTGGCGACTGGGTTTTTTTATCTACTCGCTGTTCTTCACTGTTTCCGAGGGAAGCAATCTTATGCCATTTTACTCAGAATTTTGTTGCTGAATTCAGCAAAAATATATTTTAGGGTAGAAGGTTAGATCTAACCTGTTTTTTTTCACAAGCGTTTTACATGGTAAACGTTATTTTTACATGTATTTTTCAGCAACTTCGTCAAATAATTTTATAGCTTTATCTATCTCATCTACTTCAAACGTTTCTTTACCTTTTATGGGAGCACCATACATTTTCTCAAACTTTTCAAGTAGTTCTGTTTCTGCAGCTCTCATATCATTAACAAACACAACCTTAACTCTATTGACTGTACTGTCATATCTTTGAGTTATATTATATGTTCTTCCTATCTTATATCTCTTTGTATTGAAGTCCTTCGGTTTCTGAACGATGTAAAGTAAGCCTTCACTGCAACGTTCTGAGTCGAACGAACCATATGTTATGAAGTTATATCCAACAACTGGGTCAATCCATAACAAAACTATTGGTATAAGACTTTTGTCTATAAGATATGCTGTAGTTCCATAGAATCTTACCGATATCATAAGCTCAGGATTTCTTGTCAAAATTTTCTGAGTTGAAGCAATTCCAACCCAATGCCATGTTTTCTTTCCAGATGGAGATATAATGTCTGACAAAGAATATTTGTTGTATTTCTTTGAGTATCTTACGTTTAAATCACCTATTCTAACCAATTTAGTGTTATTGTCTATCTTTTTAACTGTTTCAAACTCAGTGTTTGTCATATATGTTCTTACATACAAAATAAAAAAATAAATAAAAATAAAACTAACTTTATTTTTTCTGTCTTAAGGAAATTCATGATTTTCATAGAGTTTTATGCAAGACCAGGTTTTTTTCCCTACTCGCTGTTCTTCACGATTTTCATGTGTTTTAGGCAAGGCCGGTAAAATCCGGTCTAGAGAAATTTCACGATTTTCATGAGTTTTAGGCGACTAAGTTTTTTTTCCCTGGTCGCTGTTCTTCACGATTTTCATGTGTTTTAGGCAAGGCCGGTAAAATCCGGTCTAGAGAAATTTCACGATTTTCGTACGGAATCTCTTCTCTCGGTTTTTCCGAGGGAAGCAAGCATATGCCATTTTACTCAGATTTTTGGTCATTTTTCAGTAAAAATAATGTTTAGGGTAGAAGGTTAGATCTAACCTCTTTTCTCACCTGTTTTCTAACCTCTTTTCTAACCTCTTTTCTAACCTCTTGAATTTTCATGATTTCATCGTACATGTTTTGTCAAAACTTCTTCGTAAATGTTTTGTCAAGACTTCTTCGTAAATGTTTTGTCAAGACTTCTTCTTCGTAATGAGTGTAAATCAGACAAAAATATATTTTAGGGTAGAAGGTTAGATCTAACCTCTTTTCTCACCTCTTTTCTACCCTCTTGAATTTTCATGATTTCATCGTACATGTTTTGTCATGATTTCATCGTACATGTTTTGTCAAACATGAACGTATATGTTTTGTCAAGACTTCTTCTTCGTAATGAGTGTAAATCAGACAAAAATATATTTTAGGGTAGAAGGTTAGATCTAACCTCTTTTCTCACCTCTTTTCTACCCTCTTGAATTTTCATGATTTCATCGTACATGTTTTGTCATGATTTCATCGTACATGTTTTGTCAAACATGAACGTATATGTTTTGTCAAGACTTCTTCTTCGTAATGAGTGTAAATCAGACAAAAATATATTTTAGGGTAGAAGGTTAGATCTAACCTCTTTTCTCACCTCTTTTCTACCCTCTTGAATTTTCATGATTTCATCGTACATGTTTTGTCATGATTTCATCGTACATGTTTTGTCAAACATGAACGTATATGTTTTGTCAAGACTTCTTCGTAATGAGCTTAAATCAGACAAAAATATATTTTAGGTGAAGAGGTGAGATCTCACCTGTTTTCTCACCCGTTTTCTCACCTTTTTTCTACCCCAGTTATTTTATAAACGTTTCACATGGTAAACGTTATTTTTAAAATTTTGTGAAAACTCAACGGTTTGACACATGCCCTAAAAATTATTTTACTCAGAATTTTGTTGCTGAATTCAGTAAAAATAAAGTTTAGGTGAAGAGGTGAGATCTCACCCGTTTTCTCACCTGTTTTCTCACCTGTTTTTTTATAAGCGTTTTACATGAATTGTACGATGTATATTTGAAATCCTAAACAGTTTTGTAGCTTCTATTTCTTCTGTCAGTATGTCAAAAGTTTTAACTATGCCGAAAGTTTCTTTATACTTCTTCTTGACGTCAGATAGAAGGAAATCTTCTGCTGTTGGATAGTTTTTGTTCAGAAATTCTAACATATCCATTTTATCTTCTGCTGGTTTTTCTGCTTCTTTCTTTAAGTCTGCATAGTCGTTTCTCATACGTTCTATCTCTTTGACGGAGTAGTTATATTTTCTTATTGCTGCTTTACATTTAGAACATTGCGGGTTCATTTTTGCGTTATATTCTGAAACCTTACCTGCTAGAACAACTAAAGCGTCAATGGTTTTCTTTAACTCAAAAGCTGCTGGTTTTATCTGTTCATTCCATATTTTACATCTTTTATCTTTATCTCTTATCTGCCATACACATTCAGCAACTAACGAAACAAAGTTGTCGTAGGTCTTAAACTCCCGGGTTTTGTAAAGGTCAGAAACATTCTTATATACCATGTCGCAATCTTTGTCCATAACCTTATGGTTGCAATGAAATCCTAGAAACTCATAGTTTACCTTTCGTATGAACTTCTTTATTTCTACTGAGTCAGTTGCTTTGACTTCAATTTCGTCAAATTCAGGAATGGTTAGTTTTTGTTGTTGGATTTCAGGCAATTTGGGTAAATGGTCGATGAGGTCCTGCATTTCATAAAGATACTGTTCATTTGTTTCATCCTGTGCGGTACAGTCTAAATTAGATGTTAAAAGTTCTTGCTTTATCTTCTGGATTTCTGTTTCAAAAGTATATGAAGAAGGAATGAAGCTTTTCATTTCTACTAACATTGAAGTTGGGTTCATAACTAACGAGTTTGGTGCTGTTGTTGCTAACATGTTCTTACAATAAAAATAAAAAATATTTTTTTAAAAAAACTAACTTTATTTTTTATTTCGGGAAAATTCATGACAAATTCAAGAGGGTAGAAATGAGGGTAGAAAAGAGGTTAGATCTAACCTTCTACCCTAAATTATATTTTTGCTGAATTCATGAGTTTTGGTTGAAGAATACGGTGGAGCCAAAAGTGGCTCGACCTCAAACAAGCATTTTGTGAAGAATAATACAAAATTCAACGGGTGAGAAAAGAGGTGAGAAAACAGGTGAGATCTCACCTTCTACCCTAAACATTATTTTTGTGCTATGTTTTCTGTATAAAATTCATGACAAATTCAAGAGGTGAAAAAAGAGATGAAAAAACAGGTGAGATCTCACCTCTTCACCTAAATTATATTTTTCAATACTTTTTCAGCACTTTTCCGTAGTTATATATGAAAGACAATTCGAGATAAAATTCATAGTACAATGGAATAATATGTTGCACACCATTTGTTGTGAACCAAACTTGAAAGTCAGAGAAACTGTACTAGGTGGTTCGTAAAGAATTTAGAAGCAAAGTCATAAAAGTCCTTACCAATACATAGAAAACTATTGTTGCTTGAACTGAAACTTGCATGACACATAACATTTTGAGGGTCAAACACGTTTCTATAAACTGTCAAATCTGCTGGTGGAAGTATAAATTGAAATGGACCATCTGGTGTGTAATGGTTCGTTCTGGTTTAGTAACCGAAGAAATTGTGCCAAGAACGTTTGTCTACTTCCCAAAATAAAAACTCTGTATCTCTTGGAGGGTTAATTTCAATCTTTTGAAATGAAACGGTGGAGTTCATCTTGTCATATTCTAGTTTCAGATAGTATGTTCCATTTAGTAAAGAGTCGTATTTTTCTTGAAATTCCCATAATATTTGTTCATTTGAGTTTGAAAGTCATTTAGAGTTTTCTTCAAGACTTTCGTCTGAAACGAACTGTAAAGATTCTCATTTCGTCAAATTTGCCTATTAAGACCACCAGAACCTTTATACTGCCCATGAAAATATACTGCGAACATAAATGCGTTAGTTCTATTTGAAAACAAAACTCTTCTAAATCTATTGCCTTTGCATCTGAAGGACTTTGAAGCCAACGAATTGGATAGTCAAACCTGTATGTTCGGGATGAAATTTCTTCATCTGATATTGTCCTACCAGCATTTGTAAAGATATAGTCTAACGGTTTTGTATCTGCTACTTTTGTTCTTTGTTTTTCAACCTGAAGCATTTAATATATGTAAAAATATATTGTTTTAAAATTGTATGCCATATAGCTTCTTGAATTTGTTAAGACGTATTTGAACGTATTTTCCATCTGTATCTCTAGTGTTTACATAAGCATAGCCTGCCTTAGTAAAATATACTTGTAATTTCCTATAGTTTACGCCGGTATAAAAGTAGAAAGAGTCTTGTTCTTCGCTATAGTAGTAAAACTCAACGTATGCTTGCCATATGTCTGTAATTTCAATTGTTTCATCTTCTAGTTCGT